CGACGCTCTCGCAGCTTGTGAACAGTTTACTCGCGTACCAAATAGTATTACCGTCTACTCCAACCACCGCCTAAATATAACGAGCGAAAATAGACGGTCGTTTTACAGTTAAAAGGTTAAAGTGCGGCGCGTAGAAAGCGTCGAAGAAAGAGGAGCCACGCCGTCGATAAACGACCCTCCAGCCCCCTAACCGTAGGGGTTGCACGTGGTTGCACTTTACGCGATAATCTCGTTTCGGACCGCGTGGCGTCCCGACGCCGCGACGTTTCACCCCGAAAAACGTCGTCACGCATCCCCCACACCCCTTTGGCCAGCCGTCGTTCGGCATTGCGGCATTAAAACGCGCGTTAATTAGTTTTCCGCCGGGCCGAAAACATCAGGGAGATCGTTCCGCGAGGGTGGTTCCTCGGTAGATCTGTTTTTAGGGCTGAACGGATGAGATCGCCACTTGGACGTCGGGATTATGGAGGATCGAATACCGCGGAATGGCCGACGACGATGAACGAGCAATTCCACCGCGAGGATTATGGGAGAGCGAAGGGGATAGTGAAATGGCGGTGATGGCTTCATTTGGAGGTGGATGTGAGTGCTGATACTTTGGGGGAGTGGAATCTGTAAACAAGAATGACGTGAAGTATGATAATAGTGTACGATGTACCAATGAATAATTCATTCCATTTTGTGAAACGTGGTATTTCTCTTTTTTTTTTTTGACAATTAGAGCCTTCATGTTTATTGGTAATATCTATTCCCGTCTTTAAACACCCTCTGACTTTTCTGGATGAGAGGGGGTGTTTTGAATCTAGAATGTGTTATAACTTGATTGAAGAGAAGAATGGATTGTGTGTCAGTTATACGACTTTGTTACTGTGATAATCACGAAAATGTAAAGTGAATATGTGAAATAGTATCAGATTTTTTGTTTAAGGTGGTAGCTTCCGCGTTTAGTGTTATATCTAGCTGCTGTTCCATATGGCGCTTTATAGTTTTTATCACTTTTACCAATTTAATTTGAGTGATAAAGAATTGAACTACTTCAAAATACTTCAATGAAAAAACGATTTACAAATAAGTGGAAAAACAGAAAAAAAAATCAATTAAAAAAGATGTGTGCACAAATTAAAAAGATATTTATTGATTTTATGATTAGCGGTGTATTCTTTTATACAGGCTATCTGCAATTTAATATCGCGTACTATAAAGGAAAATAAATTATAAGTAATTTAATTTATAAATTATAAAGAAATATTTAAAAGCATAACAAAATAATTGAGTAGAAAATTAAATTGTGGTGGAAAGAAAGTACAATAATCAGTTCTAGCAATTTAAACTCTAAGAGTAACAATGGAGAATGAAAAGGTAAAAGACGTGAAACTTATATTAATAAATTCTTCGGAACCAGAATAATGCTGTGACTACGTAGAGTGAAAGTTTGTACAGAAACGTTCTAGATTGCCTATGTTATCTGTAATTGCCCCAGTCCCTAAGTAAACTGAAACGAATCCGTATACTTCTGTAAAGCTTGAATTAATAATTGGCGTACGCGTCTATTCGCGTTTCTCCCGCGAGATAGATATATCGTCGGCTGCATTTCCATTCTGCGCGACACCTAAAACATGCAAATTAGATTAAACACGCTCAGACGCTGCAGGTGGCATTTATGCACCGAATGGAAATGCGCTAAAGATTTGATTTTGAATGCATCCGTGGCACTCGGTTGAATTTCATATTTTGCAAGCGATACGAATTAATAAGAGCATTAATAATAAGCCATCATCAGTAACCAGGTAGTAATTATCGAAATAGTACAACAAGTGGTGTCCATAAGTAATTAATACACCGTGGACATTTACATAATTTCACATTTTATTTAATTAATTTACAGAAACAGTAATATTCTTCATTAATAAGTACACTGATTTAAAAATAAAATAATAACTTGGTTAACATTTTCCTTCTTGTTTAAAGTAATTTCTCGAATAAATTTCCCAGTAGAGAAGCATAATGTACCATAAATTACTACAGTAATGTTTCAATAAGTGCTACGGATTCGGGTCCGTTTCGGAGCATTCATGGCAAGACGAAAAAGTTTTCAGCCCCTCATACATTTGTTTTTTTGCACAAAGCCAAGCCTATGCTTAACTTCTGTTTATTCTGTTTTGATTGTTTCCAAAAGAGAACCCCCTCAATGGTATGAATAATACCGTTGTTCGTGTCGCATTCATCGAGAAATCACTGTATATCCATAAATTATCATAGGGTAAAAACAATTTTTTTATCGCAACAAAAATTATTTAAGCGAAAAATTATCATAGTATTTATTTTATTTTCCTTCTTTATTCATTAACAATTTCCCGATAGAATCAGTTTGTAACTCCAGTAGAGAAATGTTGGTCACAGTGTCAATACACGGTTTTCCTTATTGTTTAAAGAGCAATAAAAATATTATTCTCTATTTGATTGCGTCGTCTCACCATTCAGAGGTGTCATTGTTCCCATTTAATGACAGAAAATTAAATTATCTCCAGCAATGGTGGAGATAACAGAGCTACAACTAACGAGGGAGAAGAACATTGACATCCACAAAGGTAGTACTGCACTTTACAGAGATGTAGATAATCCGACAGCGTAGCTTCGCGAGGAGAGCATTATGCCACGGTGTACAAGCACGGCTTGCAGAGGGTGTTTAACATAATAAACATTCGTAGCTGTGCTTCCCAAGCTGCATAGACAGAAGCTATACTCGAGTCGCGTTTTCTCGCTACCCGCGAAGGATATGCAAATGAAATCCAAACGTTCCAAAGTGCACTCAGCATCAATGCAAATGGACGTTTCTTAGATAGAAGAAACGGTTTCTTCTTATTTACGTAAATACACGCCCCTCACCGCTTCGATGGTCTTCCCTAAATGTTACTGGTGAACAACGATTCGCTCGTTTTACTTTTAACTTGAAATTGATTGGTCTAATCGTATAAATATCTATATCTGAACCCCAAAGCCAGAGTGTATTCAGTTCACTTTTTTTTTCAAAAAATAACATTTCACATGTTTACTGTATCAAATATTTTGTTCTGTTAAAAATATAAATACTCACTTTTCGACTTGTACAGTCATTATTCTTATAATTACTCTACAACTAGTTACATTTACAAGATTCCAAATGCCACTGTCCAAAAATTCAACGTTTTTCTATATAACCTAACGTCATTGGTCACCGACGACCACCATATCAGCGAATGTCTCGAAGATTTTCGTGCACGCAGAATGGTTTCAGTAGTTCAAGTCAACGATAACGTTGTCACCGAGGTCGTAAATGTAATTTAATTCGCAAACAAACAGAATTTAACAAGAAATTCCTATTCCTATGTCTATTCTACAAACATGACGAAACTCTAGCTGCAAAATAATAATTGTTTACAGGAATATGTACAGAACGTTAGTGAGGTTTATTATTTATGGAGCATAAACTGCGAAGCGGCGCGGCGCAGGTTGTTCGAAAGAATGATTGAACACGTGGCCGGAGTCGAGCGCGTCAGGGTAATTGCTTAAACCGCGATTGCAGCATCGAGAGACTGCCGGAACGTAAATTCATCAGCAGTCTGACGCGATAAATAAGGCCTCACGAGCGCGAAATAAATCATTTTCTCTTTCCTATCCGGCGGACGTGTCTGCCGCAGATGCAAGACGGGTCCGTGACTGAGCGCGGCATCAGAGTTTCGGATCTAATTTGCATGGTCTAGGCGGAATATAGGAGAGGAGACGCGGACGGTGCAGTTTATACGATGTCGTAGAAACACCGACGCACAGTTTGTCGATCAATGGACGACAGTCAAATAATCAAAGTGTTAGATCTACAGATTTTTCTAACATAAAATGATTAGCAACGAAACGTATTTTGTAATAATTAGACTGCATATTTTATGCATTTATAGCCCATATAAGTCTGTAAAATACAGTAAAAAGCAAAAGTTTCATCAGATCAAATCAGTTTTTTAGTTTATTTCGAATCTAGTATGATACATAAGAAAAGAAACAAATTCCTACATTTGCTGTTCTCTGTACGAATTGCTTTAGAAAATACCATTTTGCATGAAAATCCACAGTCTAGTAATAATACTTATAATTTGTATTCAACAAACCAATTTGTCGTTAAAATTGGAATGTAACTTTCACTGATCTATGCATCTTTTTAACCACGTGCTAGTTAGAGACCATTCGTGCGTTTAATTTGATGTTTATAAATTGAGTTCAATACTTTGAAATTAGTGAGTAATTTTAATAAAACAGTAACAACTCGTCTAATTCTTTATGTAAAATATTTATTAACTTCGAAGAGACTTTAAAGAAAAATACCAAAGAATACCTTCATGGTTTTTTGTTTATTCAATTTAAGACACAATGAATTTTATATTGAAATCAAGATCAATTCCCCAAGTTATATTTAATCGGTAAGCTTTTTAAGAGCCGTTCTGCATTTGCAGATGAAATTGTTCTTACGCGATTGGGCCCTAAATTATGGTTATTATTCCATCAGACAAGTGAAAATTTTTAATCGAAATCGAATTATATTTGCACTTGAAGAGAATATTAAAACCGTTTCTAAAATTCTTAACCATTCGTTAAAAGTAGAAAAATTGTTCTTATTACATGATTTCTAAGAACTAGATAGCGGATCTTTATTCAAATTCAAGTTTCCATAGATGAATTTACTGTACTAAAATTATGTCAGAGACTTGTTTCCTCTGCTATAGATTTGTTAAGTTCAAACTAAACTAATATTTATATTAATCTTTACGAAAATTATCACTGCATTGTATTTTGCACATTCACGTTCGAAGATGATTGCATAAAATACGCAGTCTATCTAAGGGTCTATTTAATGAATAACAATTTAGACGAGTACCAATACAAATCTTTGACTGTACACCCAATAATACGAAAAGTAATTGTAAATTCTATACTTCACCTTTCTTTTTTACTGTCTGGATATTCAATTTCACACAAGCTTAACCATAATTGCTAGTGAGTGTCGATGTTCCGGAAGTAGCATATATGTAGCTCGACCCTGGAGTCGCCGTATTCCACGACTGAAAAATATAAGTAATTAAGTTGAAACACTTATAAGCTCTTAAGGTGATTATTCTCCCACCAGTTTAACGCAATTCTACCTGGTCGAGGATCTTAGAGATTAATGCCAGCAGGTGTCTCGCCAGGTACGCTGCTCGAGGATCCAATTACATGATCCTACGGGAAGCACTGTGTAACTTAAACAACGGGTTGAGAGGGCGGGAAAGAGGCATCCAGGCCCCTTTCTCTCCCTCTCATGGAAACTGGATTTAAGTTGAAATATCGCGGCGTGCGCGTCGCGAACGTAAATGATGGCGGTTCACGCGGAGTTCTCGTAAGCCGGCCAATTATGCCGCATATTTCAAATTTAAATTACTGGCTTCTTCATCAGTCTTGTGCCTCGTAAATTATTCTCAACTTTTTATTGATTCCCATTGAGTAGTGTCTGCCCCTTTCGGTAGTTTTTACATTTTATAATATCAACTTTCGATCAGCTTTTACTTTTTATTTCGAAT